TCTAAGATAGTCTGTCATTGATATCATCTTCTTTCCATCTATAGCTATTGGCACGTACTCAACCTCAGTTATTGCCACATACTCAATCTTAATAGATGAAGGAGCAACACAATTATGAAAACTAGATATCCAACTCATCCGATCATCCATGGCTTGCTCCCACCTAGTTGTATCCTCGAACTGTAGGGCATCACCAAAGGGCTCTTCATCAATCAATAACAGATAGTGTAATGAAGGTGCATACCTAACCGATACCCTAATAGTTTTGGATGTTCTTCTCAACACCTGCTCAGGTGTCACTTACTCCACTCATGGTTCTTCAGAAACAATCTTGAAAGTTTCTTGAGTATTTACTACAACATCACTAGATAAATTTTCTGTGCCTCAACCTTAACTCCCACTTGTTTCGGTCTCCCAAAACCTTTCTTCTTTTTGTCCTTGTACAAGACATTTTCATCAAAAGTCACGTCAGAATATTTTAAGATTTTTCTGTTCTTGTCATCCCAAACCCTATACCCAAACATGTCAGAATCATAGCCTATGAAGTAACACTTCACAACCTTAACGTCAAACTTGTCCCTCTTCTTTAGATCAACATAAACATACGCAATGCAGCCAAAAGTTCTAAAGTCAGAGTAAAAGTTTTAAAGTGAAAGTACTTGAGTTCTTTTCCTGTCCATACTTCTTCTGACAACTTGAACTCCAAGGGTACTCACAGCCCTCTATTGATTAAGTAGACGGCTGTATTTACACCATTGACCCAAAATGTCTTTGGCAATCCAGAATAAATCCTCATGTTCCTTGCTTGATCATTCAATGTTCTATTCATCCTTTCAGCAACACCATTTTTTATTCCTTTATCGGGAACTGTCTTCGTTAATCTAATTCTTTTACCGAGAATTGTCGTACTCTCCTCTATTGTCAAACCTCAGCCATTTGACCTTAAAGCCGATCTAATTTTTCAGCTTCAGCTTTCCACTTCTTAAAAGTGGCAAATACTTCTAATTTGTGTTTTAGGAAATAGATCCACACCTCCCTGTTGAAATAATCTATGAAGGTAATGTAGAACTTTGATTCGCCAAGTGATGGAACTAGAGATGGTCCCCAAATATCTATATGGACCATTTCCAACCACACTTTCTTCAGTTCTCTAACAACCTTCGTGTAACACCCGCTCATCGCCAACGCGATGAACAGGAGTTACTATCGACAATTTCAAGAGACTCTGATACCCAATCATAAAATTTAAAATATTTCTAAAAACATCCAGTAAAGTATTTCTATAAAAGTAAAACAGTACTTTACAAAAAAACTTAAAACGACTAAGGTAAATTCTTGACAACGGAAACATAATTACAGAACAGACCCAGACATGGATTCCCAGTAGTCTCTAGCCCGCTGGTCTCGTCCTCGGCTGACCTGCAGCATCTACATCTGGAAAGAAAAGTTATAATAATTCTGATGAGTAATTAGATTACTCAGTAAGTAGCTAGTTTATCATTCACAGGTTCAAAACTAATCTTTCCAGGTGTTTTTACGTTTTATTCATCATTGACTCCTAGTTCTCTTACTAGGGTCATCTGTTCGTTAATGAGGTATCTCAGCTACCTCCAGCTAGGTTACTGACTCTCTCTCGATATGCTTATCTAGAATTTTCGGACTCGTATGTAAGACTCGCTCTCGGTCAAATACGGCCCGTCTACTAATTGCTCTGGCGGCCTGTTTATCTCATATACCAACGGTCAGGAGTACTCCTGCTCCCTGACTTAGCACACAGCGCGTTGGCCAGGAACTCCGCGGGAATTAGTAGACTATCATACTCATATAAATAAGCCATAGCTCATCCACCAATAAGCATATCTAGAGTCATAACCTTTCCATTAACATGCATAACATACTCACAGTTACTGCATGCTTCCCTACATATATCATGATCAACACGTAGAACATTCTGAAAATCATTTATATCACGCTTACATCACAGGCAAGCAGTCACAATATACAATAAACACTAAATATCATCAAAGTTCATCATAACTTATTAAGCTCTTAATCAGGTAAACAACATACTCACATGTTGTAAAACAAGTTAAGAACGAGTTCAAAGGTCGATACGCTACTTACTTGGTTTCGAACTCCTTTTTCCCCCTTGAATGTACGTTTAATAGTACTTCAACACAATTCCTTCCTATTAGACCTATATTTTATCAATTTCAACATAAATATAGACCAATTTTGGGTAGGACAGGTCAAAAGGAGTCGAACGGGACAAACCGGGAGCCAAAATACCTTCTCACGCGCCCTCACGCGCCAATGCAAGGTCGGAGGTTTGTTTTCTCACGCGCCTGAACCGCGTACAGTCGCACACCCACTCGCAGCCTCCCCACGCGCCTCGCGTGTCCTTCACGCGCTCGTCTTCAACCTCTCCTCCCTGCAATTTTTCTCAATCTTTTCCTTTAATACCCGTTGTGTCCCGAAGCAAAAATTTCATCTCTACAGCTCGAATTTCGTTCTGATTTCTTCTACAACTTTATAGATCGTCTAACTACAGTTCTAACCAGCCTTATTTCATAACTTATTATGCAGTATAACTCAAGATATCGAGATTTAAAGGTTCGGTGATGTGGGTTTTTTTCGTTACCTTCGAATTACCGTCCGCTTCAGCTCGGGGCCGTATCCTTTCCTCAAAAGATTCCTCAGCAACAACCCCTCTTCCTTTACCCTCGATTGATGTCCAATTTTAAGCAACCAAAAACTCGAATTCTCCAAAATTTCCTCCTCTGTTTACTGGGTTTCTTTCCAACTCCATTCTTCGTTTTTCTTCCCTTTTTAAAGCCTAATCAGGCTCTAATACGCTTCCACCTCCCCTAATCACCCTCTCATCCATCCCACGCCTCCAGCTACGCGTCCACCGCCCCTCAATCTCCTTTACAGCAGCTGCTTGACGCAGCTGCTTCATTTTCGTCGTTTTTTTTTTTTTTTTAATTAATTAATTTATTTATTTATTTTTATTATTATTATTATTATTATTATTAAACACACAACACATACACCCAAAATACATTTTATCATTATTTTGGGTTATTACACTTCGTGACGCTAACTCATTTCTGTTTGTCCATAATGCAACTCTCACAATGACCATATCAACAGATTTCAGGCCTTCTAAAACTCATTTTGCAGTCAACATCTTCATTCCTTTAACGCTCATATGTTCAAGTCTATTGTGCCACAGACATAAATTTGAAGCACTCTCATCAGCAACAACAGCCATGTTTATACACCCTGTAGTGGTATACAAGGTTCCAGATTTTGTGTCACATGCTACCACCATAACACCCTTCACAATCTTCCACGAACTCTTCCCAAACTCTATTGCATAATCTGTGTTATCTAACTAACAAATAAAGATAAGGTTCTTGAGACCAAGAATGTATCGAACATCTTTTGATGTCCATTGATTTCTTGCATAAATTTTCCTTTAATCTCCAAGACTTTGTTGTCTGCAAGATATGTCTTCTCGAAATTTCCAAATTTGAAATTCTAAAATAGTTCTTTATTTGGAGATGAATGAAAAGATGCACCTGAATCCAAAATCCAAGATTAAATCGGACTATCGACGTTGAGGATTAGAGCATCCCCAATTTCTTCTGCTGAATTTATAAAATCATCAGCATCCTCTGATTTATGATTCTACTTCCTCTTTAGTCTTGCACAATCTATTCGAAAGTGATCTTTTTCTCCACAACTCCAACACTTACTTTTGGTCTGTTTAAAAAAAAATTGTTTGGGTCTTTTGATTTACTTAGTCCTCTTTGGTCAACACTAATAGCACTACCAAATGAATACCCAATTTCTCATCTGCGAATACTTTCGCTGAAAACGACATCTCGAATTCATCAAACTTCATTTTCTCAGATCCTCAGAAACTGTTGATCGCAGCAATAACAGTATCCACAACTCAGGGTAAAGATGACATCAATATCAATGTTTTAATTTCACCTTCAAAATTAATTTCCACCAAACTCATTTAACTTGCAATCATATTGTATTCATTTATATAATCAACAATAGATCGAATTTCAGACATCTGTAGATTGAACAATCCCTGCATCAAATACAATCAAATACACCTTGTTTATAGTCGACGATTTTTTTATACATATTCAATAGCATCTTCAATAAATCAGACGTTGTCTTCTTCTTGTCTTTAATGATGTTAAACGCCACACTTTTTAACAGCGTCAACCGGATCAACCCTAAGGCATGTCGATCCTTGAGCTTCTGCTGCTCCGTGGTCATGATATCCGACTTCACCTCCCAACAAGGGTTCGTGAAGATCTTTCTAATACAAAATCTTCCATTTGCATCTTCTAGAAATTGAATCGAATCCATCAAATTTCTCAATTCCAATCTTTGAATTTATCATCTTCACAAATCATGGTAAATTTCGCCTAGTTCCGATACCAGTAGTTAGGATCGCACAACTTACACACTCGATCTAGATGAACACAAAAAATAGGAGAGAAAAAATGCAATGAGAAATATTGGCTAATAGTTTATATGGATGATTTCAAGTATGTACAGTAATAGAGAATACAGAGAAGGCAAAAAGTACATATTCAAATCATTACCTAAGAGAGGTATATATATGGTTCAATTTATTATATATAGCTTTACCATATATAACCATTTACTATATATAACCCTTGAATAAGCTATAAATAAGCAACAGACTCCATAACATAACAATCATAGCTGCACTTTGTATATGTACGTGTATATATAGACCTCTCCATAGGTCAGCCTAATTTGATTGGTCACCAAGCTTGTAGAGTGTTTCTAACATAGAGAATAGAATAAGTACTTTAATCTATTAGTCTTTGACCAAAAGGTTAGCAACGACCTAGATCATACCAAGGTGAAGGTGAAGGGTAGCAACGACCTAGATCATACCAAGGTGAAGGTGAAGGGTAGCAACGACCTAGATCATACCAAGGTGAAGGTGAAGGGTAGCAACAAAGTATCTTTTGGTCGAAGACCAAAAGATTGCACACCTTAGCCAACAAGGCCACCCCTAGGTAGGCATTACATAGAGATGGCAAACCTTAACAAATGATGGTTTCATAAAATTCCTACAAGATATCTATCCTTTATTTCTTTTTCAAAAAATATACATCCATATATCTTTAAATATGACATGTGGATGTCGACATTAATCCTTCCATCTTGATCAACCATGCAAAAATCCACAAAACTAACTTTACAATTTTGCAAGGTGAACACTTGGGATAGAAGAGAAAAATACTCTCTTCTAGAGAGGCAACTATTATATTGCCCATATATGATACAAAATCTAGACACTGCTCCTAAAGCATTCTACAGTATGACCAACTATCCAACCAAACCAATAACATTAGATTAGTTGGAAAACATACCTAGGCTTAGGATTATAGTCTACGCCTGGTTGGGCGCCTACAACGATTTCCACGTTCAGTTGATTCATGACCATCCACATGGAGACCAAGCAGCCAATGCATTCCAGAAAATCTTGAATTGTACTAGTGGAACTTTGGTTATTGGTTATTTACTCTAGGAGATAAATTCGAAAGCGCAGGTCTAATTGGTGGAGGTTTCTGAGGGTATTTCGTTGAACCACTTTGACCCTGATTTGTTTTACGTTTCTTCGGCATATGCTGTTGATGGTTAGGATGATGTTGCTGCAGCGATTGATGGGTTGGGTTCGGTTGTTGCGCTTGCATTTTGCCTTTGGTTGGATGTGGACGTTGTTGTGATTGGACAGTGATGGAATGTGACTGTTGCATATTACCCGTGGTCAAATCTGGCAGTTGACCATGGATGTTGCGTTTCTTCCTTTTCATATCTTTAAGAGAAACAATGAGGTTTTGAAGCCCTTGAGATGAGATTTCAGAACTAAGGTTACAATCTGCAGCGCATGTAATTACCGACTTCACAGCATCTATCTCCTTGTCTATGGCTTCATCCTTGCAGTGATAGTCAAAGTAGATATCTTAGCAAAAAAAAAAAAGTACCATTTCTTTACAATGTTCATATTTTGGGGATTCCATGAGAACAGACGACTAACCATGGCAGCACGTACATCGTCCTGTCCTGTATCGTGTTTATTGCTGACTTTTACAGTGGCATTCCTTACATCTCGCAGATATTCATTCAGAATCTGTACAGGTCGAAAGCATTCCAACTTGTATCCACATATAAACCTGACGGCCTTAACAAATTGCTTTGTTCCAATCAGATTTTGTACAATTTCTGCAAAATGAAAGAATATGAGACAAGGTCATCGGTTAGAACAGGTAAAAAAAAATTATTGTAAAATCTAATTTCAAATGTTAAGATGAGAAATCTGAAGCGTTTCGGCACCTGTTCTTAAAATTGTGTAAACATTGTATGAACGATTGATTATTTTTAATTTAAAAAATTAGTTTAATGTAAAACTTTTTAGTTTTAAAATTTAACATTTGAGCTAACAAAAAAAAGTTACCAGAGACATTTTTATAAAGTTCTTAAAAAAAATTAAATAATAGAGAGAGAAACAAGAAATAAAAAAATAAATAACCAATAAACAACACTAGCTTTCAAGGAGGGACTTAAAATGTGCAAAAATGATACGGAAATTAACACAAATCAAGAAGGGATTATAAGAAACTCGGTAGAAACTACTGCACTTTATGCTTTCTTGGGATGAGAACCTAGGTAAGGTGAAATGATATTTTATATCATAGCAGAGACCCATCAATTTATTCTTAAAACATATAAAAAAAAATTTGGTATTTCTGAACGGACCTAAATCATTTTCTTAAAATATCTATCTTTGCTTCTAAAATATCTAAATCAATTTACTAAAATAAATATACGATTGGCTCAAACAATTATTGGGATTGACCCTATCGGGCTAGTGATGATATTTCAACACTCCCCTAGCACTAGTTCTCATTTGCTACACCATGTTGAGCTAATAGCAAAAGCCCTCATGTCAGCCCTTTTGTAAACAAGTAAGCTACTTGATTTTCTGTCTTGATTTGTTGCATCTCGATTTCTTCCTTCAGAACTCTCTCTAATGAAATGGTAATACACCTCCATATGTTTTGTTCTAGCATGAAACACCAAATTTTCTGCTAGGCAAATCACAAATTGGTTGGTGTAATGAAGTGGTATTGGATAGTCAATTTTCTAATGCAAATTCTACGTTAAGAGTTTCAGCCATGTACTTTCTTGAGTTGCTCCAGCTGTTGCTTGTACTATGCTTCTGTAGTTGACAATAATATTGTTGATTGTCTTTTGCTACACCAAGAAATTGTTCTCGAACAGAGCTTGAATCCTAGTGCTTGATATTCAAGTATCGTGATATCCTGCATAGTCAACATCATGATATCTAGATAGCTTGCAATCTTGGCTTCTTTTGTACAAAAGATCATAATTGATTGTACCTTTGACGTATCTCAAGATCATGTCGAGGTGTCATTTCCTTTCCACTAAGTTTACTTGGTTGAGTGCTCACCAACATCAATGTCGCTTGGATCTTCAGGCACAACAACACTTCAACAAATTTGCACAATGTGCTCCCTCGTCTTCTGTGGAAAAATTTCTTCAATGTAGTCCAAGTCTAGTAATACTTCCTTCTCTAAATCCAAGTCTAATAATGCTTCCTTACCTGAATCCAAGTCTAGCAATGCTTCCTTATCTGAGAGAAAACCTGCATCCATTGCGCCACTCTGATCGTTAGTTATGTAGTTCGAGCATCCTAAATCAATGATTCAATCAACCTCGTAACCGATATGCTCTCACATCATCGTCATGAGTGCTAGCTCATCTTCTTCTATGGGACATAGTACATTTGCATCCCATTCCTCCTCCATCTCCATGTTGGAGGGTGTCACATTGCTTTTGACAGACTTTTTCTTAGACCAACAATCCTCGAACATGTGGGCCCTTCTTCCTGTAATTGTAGTAGAGATACCTTTAAATCTCTTCTCTTGAGAACTCTTGTTGTCGTTCTTCTAAGATCTCTCTGGTTGTGCAATTCCTTGATAGCTTCTTCCTTTGTCATCATTTTTGTATCCACGTTTGGTAGACGACTTATTGTTGCTTCGACTTTCACTTGTGTAGAGTGCTTCTTCTTTACCCTTTAATGTGATGTCTCTCATTTGTTTAGTCATGGCTTCTTGATTAGCTAACAAATTTTCATACTCTACACGTGATGGTTGAGCGAGCCATCCTTATACAACAATAACGAAACTTCTATATTCTAGTTACAATCCATGGATAATGATCCTCTTCATTCGAGCTTCTCCAATGGCAGACTTCGAGTCTAGTCAGTAATTTCTCGACAGATTGACCTCACTTTGTGGAAGCACTGAGAAATCGTCATGTTACATTGTGAGATTGATAACAACTCGTTCTCCAGAAGTTGTAGCCTCATATCGTTCTCCTTTGAGAACAGCATCACGAACGTGTCTCGTGCTTCTTTCGGTGTCTTGTCATCCCAAATATGTTCTAACATCTTTTCTTTGATCGTGGTTTTCAAGACAAACATTGTTTTGCCTGCTTTGATTCTCCATTTGCGCAAGAAGTCATTAGAATCATCCTCTGGCAACGTAGTTTCACTCCAGCCAACAACCTCCCAAAGATCCTGTTCTTATAAATAGAACATCATGCATGTTGCCCACGTGTTGTAGTTGTTAAGTTTCTTAATTCTTCCAACAATTTGGAAATCACCCATCGTGTTGGCAACACTCAGTAATACCAAACAAGCTCTTTCTACACAAAACATGCAGAGTCATGGACTACTCACGACACAAAAAAACTCACTCACTAATAATTTCAAGAAATTGTTTCTGATGCGAAAGATCAGCTAGAGCTGCAACCACATAGCATGCTAATAATTCCAAGAGATCAAACAACCTATACTAACCTCGTTCAGTTATCAAATTATTAAACACAACTCTTTGTGGAAAACACTCACACACTTTATTAACACAAATCGAGAAGAGATTACAAGAGACCCTACAGAAACTACTGCACTTTGTGCTTTCTTGGGATGAAAACCTAGATAAGGTAGGGGTAATTATAGTAGAGCCTGGTCAATGTATTCCTAAAATATTTAGATCTATTCCTAAAATATTCCTAAAATATCTAGGTATCTTCTTAAGATACCTAAATCATTTTCTTAAAATATCTAGATATCTTTACTCCTAAAATATCTAAATCATTTTACTAAAATAAATATACAATGGGTTCATACAATTATTGACTTTGATCCTATCGAACTAATGATGATATTTCAACAGTTCTAACATAGAAAAGTAGTTCAAGTCGATTTATTTTAAGGAAAAGAAAATGTATGTCTCCAAGAAAAACCTTTGCACTATATGGATGGGAAGTAAAGTATCAGAGTAGTTTTCTAGTTTAATAGGTTAAGGTGAGAATTAAGTGGAAATTCAAACCTTTGATATTTTGGTCAAAAAAAACCAAAATATACTATCTCTGACTAGTTGAACAATATTCAAATTAGTAAAATTAGTAAGTATCAGCTCAAAACTTAAATGAATGATTGGAAATTAATAGAGAACAAGTTCAGAAAACTAACCTTGTATCTTTTGATTATACCCGAACATCAGGCACAACTCCGATGCCTGTTCATGCAGCACTATTTTCTCTAAGAGCTTTAAGATCTCTTCCTCGCTGAATGAAGTCGTCAATCCATATGACGCTATAAGTTGCAAGAAGCCAACAACGTCCAAATAATCATTTGCATCACTTTTCATGTTCAATTTCCAGTCAACTGCAAGCTTCAATGCATCTTCTCTCACCTTTGTATCAATACTTGGTGAGATTTGCTTTAATTGCTTTAAAAGAAGTGTGGACCACCTCAAGAAACTTTCTTCAAAACCTACCTGTAACTTCAACTGTTGATGAAAAGAAACTTGAATCACATCCGAGACAAGTTTTGGAGCGTTTGACGACTCTTTAAGAATCGATAAGATTGCACTTGGCATCAATTTCTGTTCAGTCAAATGCTTGTTCAAAAGTAAATATAATCTCTTCTCATTTGAATCCATGTTCTGCTGCTTATTTTTTAAGGAAAAGACCGGCATTTCATTGTCCGGCAATGATTCAGGTTGCTCCAGTTTAACCAGCCTAGGAGCTGCACTGCCCTCTGAATAAAATGAGAACACAAAATAGAGAGAATAGATATTTAAAAACCAGCCAGCCTTAATTGGTATTTGATTTAACAACTACATCAAAGAACTAAATAACATTCATAAATTGATATATACTGCGAACACAATAGGATCAATGGCTACATAATTGTTAGGAATCACGACTCTCCACAATGGTATGATATTGTCCACTTTGAGCATAAGCTCTCATGGCTTGCTTTGGGCTTCCCCAAAAGGCCTCACACCAATGGAAATAGTACTCCTCACTTATAAACCCATGATCATTCCCTAAATTAGCCAACCAAAAGACTAAGAACAATCCTCAACAATAACTTCCTTGCGTCAGAATCCAGATGAATGCATATGTAATTTATTATCTTTTGTTTTTCTGAAAAGAAATGCATATATCAAACATATCTGGGTATTAACTAATGAATTAAACAGAGGAAACTATTTGACCAACAATTTATAATAAATGAGTATAAAGATGGTGAGAAGAGGACATGTACTGCTTACCAGAAGATTTATCTCCAATACCAAGCGCTCGGGCTAGCTCAAATCCTTGTTTATATTGTGAAACTGAATTCAGAAGAATATGTAATTCCTCTGAATTAAAATCTGAGGCCAGCTGAAAATTAGCTATAAGTAGCAAGAATGCCACCACTTCCACATGATTCTCACTTGTCATTGACATCCTAGCCTTCCACTGGACTGCCAGCTTTAGAGCTTCTTCTTTCAGTGAAGGCGTAATTTGTGGTGAGAACTTCAATAATAGTTCACACAGCAAAATGCATCCCCTCTTGACATTATGCAAATCGACTTTTGCATCTTCGGACACCACATGTGGAGGGTAGAACCATTTCATAGCATCTAGAACTAACTTTGCACGATCGGAAGATGCTTGAAGAGTCATAAACACTTCTGTGCGTACCAAATCATGCAGTTTCAGATGCTCACATAAAAGAACTAACAAAAGCTTTCCATCTACGGCTGATCCTGAATGAAAATTCAAAGTCATAGAACTTTCAGCAGTTCTGCTCCCTAATTCCTCAGTTTTTACTTTCAGAGGAAGAATGTTTGGATCACCCAACAATTTTACCTTTTCATTACAATTATCTTTCGAAGTCCTGGCTAGATTGATATCTTTTTCTTTTGACTCGAGTTTCTCAGCCCACAACTTGCATTGTATTTCTTTTAATCTTAGTTCTTCACGGCCTTTTTCCACCAATTTCATCTGTGAATCCATATCTGTTTTTAAGGATTCAATCTCTTTCAGAGAAATGCTTACTTTCTCATCCTTCTTGTTGAGTTCTTCTGTCTGTCTTTGAAAATCATTTTCTTTGTTCTTGAGATTCTTTGAGCGTTGTTCTATTGATTTTCTCAACAAATTGTAATGCTCTTTTCGAGTTTTTAGACCTTCAAGACATTTATCGACTATCAAAGAAATGGAGTTCTGTTGTTTCATCATTGATGGCAACTCGGTAGAGTAGTCATCCACAGACGCTTGCAATGAATCAAGGTTATTGTCCTTGAACTCCAATTCCTTTGAGCATTCAACAATTGCCTTTTCTATTGAATAAACATATTTAGTAAGCAATATAAGCGCATTCTGACAATCTCGAATAGATTGTTGAGTGCCATCAAGTTGCTTTTCCTGTACATCAAGTTCTTTACTATGTTCCTTGATACACCTTTTGATGGATTCTAACTCTGATTCCTTTGATAACACATCTTCAGAAAGAACCTTCAACTTGTTCTGCAGTAAACCAAACTCCTTCTCTTTAAGATCAAGTTCTTGAGTCCGCAATTTTATAGACTTTTCTATCTTGTCAAATCTCTCCATTTTCCACTTAGTGGTAATCATATTAAGAATTGTTTCAAGATCCTTTTCTTTCAATTTGAGTTTTCCGTTGGTATCTTTAATTGCCATCTTAGCTGCAAGCTCTTCTTCATGTTCTTGAAGCAATGCTCTTATCGATTCTACACTCGTCCCCTTCAACTCACATTTCATTGACCGCTCCTCAATTAACTGTATTATCTCATTTAATTTCTGTTCATTTAATTCCATAACCAGCTCACAATCGTCAATCCTCTTTTGAACCATATCAAATGGCTTCTCCTTCTCCTTACACTCCTCGGCGTCCAAGACTGTGATGCATACCTTATTAACCTCATCTTCTTTCAATTTAAAATCCTTCAACAAAATCCCTAGTCTCTCCTGCGCTGCATCCAAATCCACCTCTTTCAATCTAAGCTCACCATCACATTTCTCAATCAAACGATTCAACTCGATCAGTTCGTTCTTCTTCAACTCAAGCTCTTTCGAGCATTCATGAATAGACTTCTTCACATCATCCAACTCCTCTTCCTTCGAGGCAATCACCTTCTCCCGCCTCTCAAGCTCCTCGTACTGCGTCTGAATCATTTCTCGAGTCGAATCGAAGTGCGTTTCCAAGTCCTTCCATTGAAGACTAAACAACAAAAACTTAGAAGCCTCCGAATGCAACTGTTCATGCGCTTGGCAGAGACTACTCTGCTTCCAGTCCGCAAGTTTCATATGCGAAGCAATCATCTCCATACGGAAAAAGGTACTCCTCTCCGCAAAATAAACATATAATGCACGGCTATTTACAAACAACACACACCAGTATAGCAGAGAAGTAAATAAGAAGAGGAACAAAGAATGAAAAAGAGAAGGTAATACTAAAACTGTGGCATTTAAATGCAAAAGAGTACCGAAATCAAGTGAGCGAAAACCCTAGAATCCCGCCATGGAAGAGCTCCAGAGGAGGGAGAAGACCGAAGAGTGATGATCGGATGAATTTGAATTTCGAATTTTGAATCCTTAATTTAGCAGTTTTTGTAAAGTACTCTGTCTTTTTTTTTTTTTCCTTTTTCTTTTTTTTAGAGTTAAAAAAATAGTATTATAATATGTGAATGCGATCTTGTAATGATTCTAGATTTCTAATTGATCTAAAATCGTACTTTATGCGAAAATATTTCATTCAAAATTTTATCATAAAACATAGTCATGGATTTACATGAAAGATCTTTAAATAAAATAACAAAAATTGAAATAAAATAAAATAGAAATGCTATGTATTAACCTATATAGTACGAATTTAAATGCATGCTAATAATCTATACTAACCTACCATTTATGAAATTTAAATACAAACTACCATACACATGTATCACGATCTCTTGGGTCGCGATATCACCGTCAAGAGTATGAGGGGCCTTGTCTTTACCTAGAAAATAAGAGTAGCACGTCGCTTGTATTTTAAGAAATACTCACTAAGTAATTCTGCTATTGGGGTTAGATGCAAACACATACACTCATGAGTGAGACCTATCATATCAGTATATATTCTTTATGTAGCTATCCTAAGTGGGTACTTAGATAATGTTTTACACACAGTCTACACATGCGAGTATGGATCACCATTTAGTTCGCACACCTCATAGGCTCCTTTCTTGTCGACGAGCATTCTCTAGAGTTGTTGATGTCAGACACTCATTAGGAATGGTGACCATCGCAACATTATAATAAACATAATGATTGTTTTCCTGCCTCGTAGCGTACGCATCCGTACCATCGTAAAAGAAGGGGTATCCCCCGATGCATGAGCATACAATAATGCATGAGGTCCCAAAATTTTTCATTCATTAAATCATGTACAAAAACCCATCTTCCACCTTCCTTTATATCATATCATTTTATCATATTTTCGATGCATATCTCGGGGTTGTGCATTATGCCAATACATCATATTGCATGTCAATCATATCATATATCTCGTCATGTCAAACATATGTCATATCATGTCTTTTAACGTATCATATCATACTATGCACATATCATATTGTATGTCGTGTCACAGCATGCATTATATCGTCAATCATATAACATCATAACCCTAGGTTTCTCTCTCTCTTTTTTCCTTTTCTTTATTTTTTTCCGGACATTTTGCCCGGTTGACTTTGACCCAAAATTTTAATTTTGCTGGTATTTTTAAATTTATTTTTCTACGTCCCCACGTGTCCCAAGCCCTTTTTCCTTCTACACCACTTTGAGATTCACTCTCTAAGACAGATAAAAATTCAATAGATACAACTCGCAATGGGCGCTGCATTGACTAGTCGTCACCAATTCAAAGGTACAATCTTACTTCTTGTATTGATTAACTTACTTTTGATCGTATCGATGGATACAATTATTCTACTGAATAAGAGTGCAACTCTGAACTATGATTAATGAACAAAAATAGATTAATTTAAAAGTTTAATTACTTAATTTTATATCATTGAACCTTATAATCCGTGGTTTCATAAGTTCTTCCTGTTAGCTCAGAGCAACATTAAAAAAAATTAATTTAATTAAAAATTTTAAACGTTCATATATTATTGGCTAAATAAAATAGAAATAAAAACGCTTTAATAAATATATATTTTATATTTTACTTTATAATATATTTAAGTTCTAAGTGACTTTTCTAAATTTAAAATAAAATAGAAAAAATAAAAAACACTTTAGTAAATATAAAAATGTGTTTCATAATACAACAAAAGAAATATCTTCCATTATTTGCTTGTAGCCAAGTTTAAAAGAATATCATATCTGAATAATTTAATTTCATTTTTAATAGGTCCCACTCATCCATGTGCTCAAAATATATCAAATAGGACCTTGGCAACAAGCCTGGAGATATTTTTCTTTTAAATAAATACAAAAAATTGGCCCCATTGAAATGATATATATGTTAATTTTGTATAAAAAAAAATCAATTCAAATTCTAAATTTATCACACGATGGTCCCCACTTTTCTCGAAGACACTATCCACACAGGCTGACCTGAGTTCTTCCAACATATTATGTCTTCACTCACATGGCCACCCAACGTAAAATTCCTCCGATCAAAGCATGTTTAATTATGAAATTATAATGATTGAGGTGCCAAAAAATGAGGTGTATCTTGTTGATATAGACAGTGACTTCCAATTGTTTTAATCTTTTCTTAGCCACGATATCTCCTGAATCACTATATGTGATATCAGTTTATTTATATACCTCTCTCTTACGGAGAAATTGAATATTAACTCATTTGCTATTGAAAAAAGAACGGCTCATTAATTATTATAGATTTTTATTTGAGTATCCAATAATATGGCTGTGGTCATTAATATATCCATAAAATTAAATTCTGGTATCTATAATTAATCTTGATTCTACCTAATATCATAATCTAGTTGGAAAAAGAAGTGTGAACGAGCCTTTAAAATCAAGCAGTTCACTTCTTTACACGATCCTTAATCAATGGGTGGTTAAATGATGGTTCAAATAAGTAAGACATATTAATTAGAAAATGATGAACGAAAGCAAGTCTTAAATACATTGGTAGGTATATTGTGCGTCTAGAGAGACGAGACGAATAAGCATTATGTTGTCTTTCTCAGCATTGAATGGCCAAATGAAGCACAGCCACAGAACAAAGGTTATAAAGGATAAGCAAAGAGAGCCATTCTTTTTCCCTTTTGGCACAGCAACACGCCTTTAATCAAAATCATGCCACACAGAGCACCAAAAGCCCTCATTTCTTCTCCAACCATTTGGCTTTGGCCGGTTAAAGAGCCTACTCCCTCGTCATTGTCTTTTTCAAACCCTCTATCACTCATCACAAGTTAACTAAACCTTCATTATAACGGGTTAAAAACCTCTCTCTATCAGATACGTTAAACTTTGAAAGGAAGCCCAAAAGTAAAAGTTCAAATCCTACAAGATCCATTCGTTCTTTTTTTCTGACGATGGTCAGGGAAGTCTGCTGGTAGGAATTCCTCAGGGCGGGCCTATCCCTATTAAAGAGGTCATTTCCGAGGTCCCATAGGCTAGATGAGAAGAAGGTCAAGCTCCGGCCCCTCTCTCTGTTCCCTGACAGAAATTGGAAACTAAAAAAATATATGGAAACAAATTGCGTCGACGGAAACTAAGTTCCCACTCTCGACCCATGTAACATGCTACACCAATAAATAGGGACAAGCAAGAAGGTGAAGGAAAGAACGGAGAAGAGTCAAAGGGTTCGGTCAGGTAATATATAATAGAGGTTCAGGAGAGTTGAACTTTCCTTTTTTTAGGATGGTTACAACAAATTTATATTTTACTGAAAAGTATGAGACTAAATTTATTTAAAAATATAAAAAAATTGAGGAGATTTTTTTTAATAAAAAAATGTTAAAGCTAAAAAAACAAATTTGTAAAATCATATAAAAAAAATTAAACTTTATAAAAAATATATATATATATATTTAACAATAATGTTAAAATAATCCATAGAGATACTGATTAGACCATTCATATTTATTCCTTCTTTCTCCCACTTTCATCATTCTTTGCTTTGTCACTTTATATAATATGAATCTCAATCTCTTCCTCTTCTTCTTCTTCTTTTCCATCAATACATAGCAATAAAAATTTCAACTCAGATTGGGAAGAGCTGATGGCAACAACCATCCATGGCGAAGAACACGATAAACAAGACGAAGACGAAGAAGAAGCGTTATCTTTGTGCGACCTTCCCGTCAAAGAAAAGCAGCAGCCTTCGCTTCTAAATGAAAACCCCATCACGGAGGATTTCGATTTCAACCACTGGCCACCGCCGCCGTCGCCGCCGCCCATGTGCGCTGCCGACGACATCTTCTTTCAAGGCCATTTGCTCCCTCTTCGCCTCTCTGTTAGCTCTGATAATACTCACAATCACTTCTTTTCTAAACCTCTGTCCGCCAGGTTCGAACCCAGCCACAATTGTTCATACATTTAATTTTTTTTTTTTAATTTCTTAATTTATTTAATTTTTCCAGGTCGGAGTCTATGGATCATAATATGTTGAGGTTTAGAAATGGAAGCAGTAGTAGCAGTAGCAATAGCAGTAGAAGTCATTATTCCAGGTATGCTTTTTTAATTTCTCCCCATTTCAATTAATTATTTTATTTCAAACTTGGATATTTTTAAAATTATAATCTCCAAAATCCAACTCAAATTCAAACATCAAAATATATTACCGTTACACAAAATAAAAGGTTAAATTAATAATAATAAAATAAAATAAACTTTCCCAAAAAAAAATATATTGTTTTAACTTTAAAAGTTTTAATAATCTTTTAATTTTATAAAAATTGAATTTAGCAAAGTTTTATTAATATTTTTAATTTTTTTAAAAATATTTTACCCATTAACACTAATACCGTTAAAGATATTGTCCTTAGGTTTTCCCTATTTTAAAATGGCCCGATCTTAAAAGTTTGTTTTGTTCTCTTCTCCAACTAATAGATAATATTATTTTTATAAATTTATAGATATTTTTTTTTTAAATGTTAAAAATATTAATAAAAATTATATTTGAAATAAAATAATCACGGTTGGAGGATGGAAGTCCACACTAATTTAGGAAATGATCGATAAGTTAGGAATATTACCTCTATTGGTAGAGGCCAACTCTTGGGTAAGCCCAAACCAAAGCCACGAGAGCTTATGTTCAAAGAGGACATGATTGTGGAGAGTTGTGTTCATCTAATAATCACGATCTAGTTATATATTTTTAAAAAAATAATTGATGAAATATTTTGAATTGCAGGTGTTCAAGTATTAGTAACAATTCCATTTCAATTCCGACGAACTCAAAGCCAAGAACTCAAAACAACGTCTTCCACTCTCACCCAAGTCCCACGCCCCAAATCAGATCCTTTTCGACTTTCGGCCGCCGGAGCCGGAGCCGGAGCTCCTCCCGCTGGGACTTTTTCCGGGTGGGTCTTCTCCGAACGCCAGGGATGGAACTTCACGACCTCAAAACTCGCACCACCGTCAGCAACGCGGTACCCACGGTGGGGCAGAAAACAACCGCCTCGTTTTTGGGTGTGGTGAGCTGCAAAAAATCAGTGGAGACAATACCGGCGGCGAAGAAGATAAAGAATTGGAGTGGGAATATTGGGAAGAAAAGGAATGAAAAGGGAAAGGGAATTGGGATTAGGGAGAAGGAATTGAATGATAATGTTGAAATTAGGGAAAAGGAAAAGGAAAAGGCGACGAGGCTGTCACATCGTCGAACATTTGAATGGCTAAAGCAGCTCTCGCATGCAACCTTTGCTGACCAACAATCATCTTGACCCCAATTTTTTTTTTTTTTTTTTTTTACTTCTTCCCCACCACCATGCTTGTACCACTTTAATTATTCCTTCCCACTCGCCTTTTCAATTCCCTACCGTGTTCAAACATTTTTCGTTTTTTCGATCTTATAAATCTTATCCATACCCTAATAAGAAAAATAGTTGCAAAAATTGATTCTTGTTACAAGTGTTCGTGAGCTGGTGGTTCAATCCAATTTAGGTGTAGAACCAACTCAATTTATAACTTAAACTAGTCTTTTCTATTTTTTTTTTTAATTGGTTGACTTTTGGGGAGTTTGAATGATTGAGAATTTGAGTTGGGGTGAGAGGGAAAGGAATGGAATTAGAAAAAGAGGGAAAGGAGTGAGGTGGATGTGATGATGAAGGTGTGAGATTTTGGTGGGTTTGGTTTCAAAGTGGAATTCTTTTTATATCTTTAGAGAATCTCATGAGAGGTCTAAAACAGACACCATTCACACCCACAAAAAGTAAAAGCCAAGGGCGGAAAAGGTGACAAACACCTTTCCTCCCATCAACCGACAACATTTAGGGTATAACGTTCCGAATTTGAATTTCTATTCTCTTGGTCGAACAAGAATTATGTTATATTTATTTAACTATCAATTTTTTATTCTAAACTCTGGTTATCTCGTTTAAATGTCTATATAAATTAGAGTTCGGATAATCTCCTTTTGTTATTCAAGAATATATTAAGTCTTGAGCTATGCCACTTACGCTGATCACTTTGATGTGAAATCGACCCAAGTTAGGCTAGGGTAACATGATTATTCTTGTTTAGCTTATCAATACTTATTCAGATTAAAGTATTGAAGTACTTTGTCGAGCATAATATCACACTGCTAGACTTTCCTTGTGACCTCAAATCAAGCACGACAAGACCCATTAAAATACCCTTTTCAAATTTTTGATAGACTTGGCAGACCTAAATTAAAAAAAAAAAAAAAACATCTCTAATTCTATTTGTCCCTTTACCACAATAGACACGAAGGACAACACTTTTTCTATTACACAAGAGATAAGGACAACGATTTATGAAAAGTTTCTTCACTATTCTAACCGACTATGCCTACGACACTACTACAACAACCTTGTAAAATACAACAACGGTTGGTGGAGATTTGTGTAGCTTCAAGAACGGGATTATAAAAGACTTTTAGTGCTACTTAATCGAATGAACTTATAATTAGATATTATATAATAGGTCGGGATAAATTGAATGATGTATGTTATAATGTATGACATCTTGACATGGTACGTGACATGTTATGTCGAAAGTCTTATGATGTATGTATGTATGCTATTTTATGATGAATGTATAATAGTATCGGCAGCAGCTGATGAAAACCCGGGCGCACGGTCTTATTTTGCAGAAAGTCTATAATATGCAATAAATTCAAAAAAAAAAAAGAAAAAAAAAATCCCAAACGCAACACTTTCTCCGTTGCTCGATCCCTGTTTCAGTTTGCCATGGGAATCGTAGAGGAGGCTCAAAATGTGAAGATCATCGGAGACGGCCAACAGACGGTGGTTCTCGGCCATGGATTCGGCACCGATCAATCGGTCTGGAAACACCTGATCCCGCATCTGGTGGAGGATTACAAGGTGGTTCTGTACGACAACATGGGCGCCGGGACTACCAATCCAGACTATTTCGACTTCGAGCGCTACAGAAGTCTGGAAGGTTTCGCGTACGATCTGCTGGCGATGTTCGAGGAGCTTCGAATTGATTCGTGTGTGTTCGTCGGCCACTCTGTTTCGGCGATGATCGGCGCCATCGCTTCCATCACTCGCCCGGCCCTCTTCCACAAGATTATAATGCTCTCCTCCTCCCCTAGGTACCTTCGATTTTTGCTTTCCCCCTTTTCTCAAACCTAGAATCGCAGATGTTATTATTATTATTTTTTATTTTAGGTTAAATTCATAAAAATATTCATATATTATGTAATGTTAATCTGAATTTTAAAAAAAAAAAAAAAAAAAAAGTTGTAAATGAATTAATTTATTTGATTGAGATACTTGAACGATGAGGACTACTTCGGAGGATTCGAGGAAGAAGATCTAGAGCAGCTATTCGAAGCAATGCAATCGAACTACAAGGCTTGGTGCTCGGGGTTCGCCCCGCTAGCCGTGGGTGGAGACATGGACTCAGCGGCAGTTCAAGAGTTCAGCCGAACCCTGTTCAACATGCGCCCCGACATAGCCCTCAGTGTGGCTCAAACCATCTTCCAAGCTGACATGAGGAGCATTCTCCCCCTCGTCACTGTCCCCTGCCATATCATCCAAAGCATGAAGGACATGGCTGTCCCCGTCGTCGTTTCCGAGTACCTCCACCGCAACCTCGGCGGGCTCTCCATCGTCGAGGTCATGCAGTCCGACGGCCATTTGCCCCAGCTGAGCTCCCCTGATGTTGTGATTCCGGTGATTCTTAGGCATATCAGGTATGATATTGCAGCCTAGAATCCAAGTTTGCAAAACTCTAGTTCATGAGATGTTTTTGGACGCTTTAGTGTGAATAGTTGTTTATCATATTTTTTTGAAATTAGAAATTTAAATAATTTAGATGGTACATGGATCTATCCATATAACTCTATGGATCTATCCATATAACTCTATAGTCTCACCGCTTGCATTCGCCATCATTACTATCACGCAACTCAATTACCGTCGGTAAAATAAAAGTAGTATGAACGAGTATAAACATACACCATAATTGACATGTTTGTATGGTCTTAAATTAAACTTCGTGCTTAAGTATCAAGAACAAGGCCGAGGAATATCCATTGTCATATCTAAAGATTTAATTACAAGGTTGGAAACCAAGAAACTGCAACAAGCTTTAATCATTTGTATCCAAATCAAGAAATGTCTAATCTGATGCTCAAAGGTTTAATTCTAAGGTTGAGAGCCAAGAAGCTGTCTTTTGGTCTCTCTCGCCAAATTCTTGTGTTTTAGAAATTTGTATGCTAGAATTAATCAAATAGTGTTGAGAATATTAGGGACATCAACCCTCTACATGTTGAGGATGGTTGGGAGGGAGTCCTACATTGACTAATTTAGGGAATGATCATGGGTTTATAAGTAAGGAATACATATTCATATCATTGCAGAAAGTGTTTTGGGCTTCCTCACAAGGCCTCATATCAATGGAGATAGTATCATTCACTTATAAACTCATGATTTTTCCCTTATTTGCATACTCCAACAATCATTAACAATCCTCCTCTCGAACAAAATACAAACAAAGTATACAATATAAAAGACATGATGAATTCTCCAAAACAAGAGAGCTCAAGCAAGAGCACCACAACAGATAGTAGACCAAAGAAGTTTCGTTCTCTTGCTGAAATTTGTGTACACTTGAAAAATAATTAGATTCTAACAAGCTAGTGTTGCTTGTTGCCGAGGAGCTGACAAATTATCGTGAGGCAACAATTAAGATAGCGTGGTAGGAGACCATGCAAAAAAAAAAAGCTTGAATCCATTGAGAATAACAAGATGTGGGCCACTTCATCGACTTACCACTCAACACAAGCCCATTGATTTGGTTTTTGTACCGGTGGCTATAGACTCAACACAGGTGAGAGGTTCATCACTCAGATGTCGAATCAACATTCCTAAATGGTGACCTCCAAGAAGAAGTGCACGTTGCCCAATCTAAAGGTTTCATTAACAAAGAGAGCAGTGTACACATTGTCAAAAACTAAATCAATTACAAACCAAACCAATAAGTTTGACTTGTACTTGATTTAGTTTTTAGGAAATTTAGTTGGTCAAAACCAACCGATATCTAACTTTCGGAGTACTCTAAATCATGAGTTTCCTTTACTCTTGATGAAAGGCAAATAAAGATGTAAAGAGTGGCCAAGTAGGGTTGTTATGGGCTCTCTGTCTCTAAAATACGGGTTATTGATAAGCTAAGCAAAACTCGATTGGTTAACAATATGTCCTAAGGTAACAGGTTTAGTAATTCTCTTTCCATAACCTTTCATAACTAAAACTTATTAGGAATATTGTAACAAATATAAAAAAATAAGGCTTACAATTAATTGCCAAACCATGTAGAATCATACAATCATTTGAACATTTCTTCCCCAGCTTAAACACAAACCAAGTTGCTTTTGAATATTTCTTACCTAGCTTTGTATTTACTTGACCAAGTCCTCCCATTTGCAGTATTGTCCTCCTGCTAATGCTCGGTAATACCGATCTCTACAGTAAACTGGCCTTCCATCGGCTGCCTCCGCTGCTGCCGCTGCAAGCTCGTCGTCGGCCATGACCTCGACTGGTAACCGAAGCAACTCATCCTTTCTACAAACATATAAACTCATTGCTAAGTTGTGAAGTAGAATACAGGAAGAGGGGAAACAACAGGCCTCAACTCAATTCATTACCTTAAGTTGTATTTTTTGTTGATGATTGAATCTGGATTAACGTTGGATGATGTGCTTTGTTTTGAGGAAAATGTGGTTTGTACAAAATCCTCCACTGGTGTCGAAAATATGAACAATAATACAGCTGAGACAAGAACAACCCCTGTTCCAACTAGAGTTTGTTTCAGCATGTTGATCACTGGTTTAACCTGTAGATATTGAATTTTTTTTCTTTAGTTAAATGAAGATTTAGATAGTATTTCGTATTAGAATAAATTTTCTCCAAAGTTTATCATATCGGTATTCGATAAAATACCTTGTAAGATCCTAACAATCTATCACGAGCCAGAACCTACAACGAAAATGAGAAACTGAGAATACATTCAAGAGGAGAAAAAATATCCCCAATCCAAACAAGCTACAAAATAACATCTAGAACAGCCATAAGAAGACTATAATTACAAAAAAAAGAACATTTTGTTGTAGAACACCACCAAGAAGCAAAAGACCGCACACTCAAACCGAAAGGCTCAAAAGGCGAAAACTTATCAATTCTTTGATTTCTTTCCTTCCGAAGAATGCAGAGAAGATTAAATGAACTCCACACTCAAAACTAAAGCCAACAGAAAGGGTGGCAAATTAAAAAGAATCAGCATATTCTTAACAATCCCCCACAACGCGCACAAGGCCGAGCAAATGAATTACTATTTGAAACGGAGAGGAAATAACATTGCAGCTGACAACTCTAGAGCGAAACCCAAAAGTTCAACGTGATAAGTTAGAGAAAATCGAAGTATGACTCGTCATCAAAATTAAGGTTTATCATTTAAATTGAACAAAGGCATGTAATGATCCAACAATCGGACTCACAAAGAATGCTTAAGATACACATGAAAACTTGCCCCACAAGGAATAATAAATAAATAACTCAACCAAATTTCTTGTGCATTAGTAAATGAATAACCAATCCACATTTTTCAATGCTCATATCACCATACGTTTCAGGTTCTTTCACAAAAGAATATATCAATCGAAATAATACAAAGTTTGAGTGTCTACTATTAAAAGCAAAGGCAAAAAACAAAGCAAGTCGTTTAAATTTTGTAGCTAAAGTGAGAGGAAGAGTGAAATAATGAGTTTGTAGTTAAGAGTAACTGACCTCAGGGGGTTTAACCCACATTTGGCCGTCATACCATCCACTCTCTTCGTAAGGTATGACTGCCGATAACAGCCTATCTCCCACGTAACTCCAACCCTGAAACCACAATCCCATCTACGGTTAAACTACCAATAGACTAAAAGTTTAGGCCATAAATTATGATAATATTTGTTCTTTTAAGGATATTTTTGAACTCTTTCCTCTATTTGTGGCCTTGAAAATTAACATAAAAACAGCAAGTGAATTATTGAATGAAGTGACAAAGAAATGATTATTTCACCCAAGCCAGAACTCCAATAATCAATAATGGAAGAACTTGCCAGATATATTCTCAGGACAATCAAGGAGACGAGGAGAAGGGTTCCAATTCCAGCAGCAAGCACAAATCGCAAAGGTTCCTGAAACAAACAAAAAAGTAAGCACAGAAAGATTCAAAGCATTCTTCAAATTCAATATTATTAGATTGGATGATTAGTTGGTTAGGTACCCTTGAAGGATTGAAGCTTGCGGCTGCAACGGGAACTCCTAAGACCGTGAAACTTACTAACCAAAGCCCTCCAAGGCGAAGGAAGAATGGCCCAGCTCCCAGCTCTCCCCATGAATACAATGCAGAGTCTTTTAGAGATGAGTATTCATTCACCTACACTCCCACACATAATGCTTCTAAATCATCCACCTTATTCAATGGGATTCAATTGAATTTCATCCGTTCGTTTCTAAAAAGTTTCAAGATTTAGGCTCAATTTGGTTCCTATGATTTGGCTACATCTTCTATATTGGTCTCTATGATTCAAAAGTTTCAATTTCATCCCTAAAGAATGATAAAACTTCTCAAATAATAGTCTTGTCCTTGTCATTACTACATAAATCATTTTTCAGTAACATGGTTGAGACACCTCCTCTTTTATCTTTCCTTTCTTTTCTTTTTTTTTTTTTAAGGTTTTCAACTGTTACAAACAATTTCCGAGATCTTAGCCTGGTTTTACGAATAAAAAAGAATGGATGGGTGTAGCTAAAATATTTGAATATATAGAGTTTGTTATTAAAAAAGTTATTCATCACTTCTTTAGTGATGTCCATTAGTTTAATCAATAATACAGTGGATGGTAATGAACAACAGTTATATTAATCACTAGTTGATAGCTATGTTAATCATTAATTAATAGTTATGTTATCTCACCTAAATAGATTAAAGCATAAACAAGCAAGCTCAACTAAGAGGTTGGTAGAGATTCCTCCACGCCAGATGTTAAACTTTTAATACAAAAAAGTTGTAGCAATTATTTTTGCAGCATTCTATTCCAATTAGGCTAGATTAGCAACTACCCACAATATAAAATGTTTAAAAAAAATGAAATGTTGTTTATTAAGCCTTAAATATTATTAATTCGAAGAACTAATCCAGTGTGTTTCTAAACCAATGATTTTAAGCACTTCGAAAAAGTAGGAATAATGTTGTTATTCCCATCTACTCTACTTTCTGATTCTCACTGTTACCCATAAGAATGCTCATGAGTTTTGACAATGTTTATCCCAAGATGAAGCAGAAGAATGTTTCATCTCTCCGAAATACGAAGAGAATTATGAATATGCTTATGGAAATTCGAAACAGAGAAACGGCATGAACGCTGAATATTTTATAGAAAACTATCCATACCGGCCGTTGTTCAAAAGGGACTTCAATTTCCAAACCAGGGTCCCATTTCTGGCCGGGAAATCTGCCGCCGGCGCCGTCTTTCTGATCATCCTTCAAGGCTTTGGCTAAAACCCTTCGATTCAGCCTCCGATTTCGCCTCAATCGGATCACCAGAGACGGCCCAAATCCAAAGCCAGTCCTCACATCTCTGCCTTCTGGAATCAGAGAGCAGCAACTGCTGCAGTACACATTCAGCCGAAGCATCTACTTGTGTCTTCTCCGATTGCAGTGATTCTCGGAGAAGAGAAATGGGTGCGACCCATTGGAGATTTGGGGTTTTGGAAAAAGATTTGTGGATGCGTGGATTGTTGTGAGCCTTTCGTGGGATTCTGAGTCGGATT